AGAGAGAGGTGTATGCTCACCTTGTCTTCCCGTATATCCCTCGCGTATCCGCCCGGATGCTCCGACTATCGGCGACGGTTACGCGCACACACCAAAGAGAGCACCAACGAAATCATCGATCACAACCGGTCTCTGTAGATCCCCCCCCCGCCCGTCAGATTTCTCCTTCCCCCTTTCTCTCTCTCTCTTTCTTTCTTTCTCCTGCGCGCACTTGATACAAATTTACAAAAATCTCACACTCGTGCACCCGCGGGGCAACGTCGGCGATAAGAAGAACGGGGGGATCGGCGACGTCCTCCGCACACACACACGATCTCCTCAGGCGTACGTCCTGCTGCCGGTCGAGAGTCGCGCAAACAGAGTATCCATTTAGAAAAATGCAAAAAACCGAGCCGACCGGCGCACACACGAGGTCCGGTCGCGTCACTGGCGGTCGTCGGGGCGCCGCGTGTCTCCTCGCGCCGTGGCTCCCCGCGTGCCCGTCGCCGTCGGCTTCATCGTCGTCGTCATTATCATCGTCAGGCTCACCGGGCGACACGACGACCAGACGTATACACAGGAGAGCGCGCACGAGCAGCCGGGAGGGACGAGCGCGTACCAACTAAACACCGTACCGTCACGGCGCCGCGGCACTAACTGACAGGCTGACGAGAAACTCCAGTTGGTCGTCGGTCGGCGAGAAGGTCGACGGGAGGGGAAGCCGAAGTTACCCGCGCGCGGCGCTCTCCACCGGAGCCTCTCTCACACGAGACCTCGCGTCCTCGTCCGACCGCGCTCCCTCTCGCTCTCTCGCCCTCCGTCACCATCTAGTGGTGGATCGGGGTACCCCGGGTACGCGCGCGCCACCCGGTTCGCCACCCCTGTGCGGTGGACGGAAGGCCGCTAGGGGAGGGAGCGAAACGAGCACGTGAGGCTGGTGAAGAGCCGGGGGTGGGCGAGAGGCTAGCGGGGGGCCGGAGCGTGCGGAGCGCAAGCAGCAACCAAGACCGGTGTGTGTGTGTGTGTGTGTGTATGCGGGGGTGAAGCGGGGGGAGGAGCGAGGTTGCAAAATATGTTGTAGAAATGGGGTGGCGGATGAATGCGGTCGCCCGCGTAGACTAGCGATTTTATTGATCTTTTTTCCACCCTTCGTACGCGTACGGGGGGCTTAATTAAGCGACCGGCGCGGGGCTAAGGTCGCGAGCGCACCTTCCACGAGACGGAGCTTTCGACCGGTGATCGAGGCAACCTCTCGTCGGGGGAACGAGGTAAATCGCCGTGAATGAATGAGAGACTCCGTGTAGACGTTTTCCTGGATTTTCCCGTTTGCAGCACGGATCCCGATTGGAATAGCCGAAGTCCTCCCGAATTAGGTTATCCCATTACGACTCCAATGGGGAATTCCACACCCTGTTGAAAATTTCCAAGTGGATTTCTACGAAAGTCCGATGGAACTCATGTGAAGCCATGTAGAACGCCAAAAATCCATACAGGAATCCACATTGTATTGTGAAAACTTCACCGTAACCGGCAGTAACTGGGATTCGACGGGTCGAAACGCTAATTACTCGCTGAATTCTGGTTACTCTGTCACTTCTATCTTCTTCTGGATAGGCTAATTTGAAAGCAATGTCTTAATTCGATTTTCAGTTAAGGTTTGCGTTCATGCTAATTTGTATGCACGTTGTACGAATATCTATTGTAGACACTGCTTTAAGCTTACAGCGCGTACAAAAGCGGTAAGCAGCAAGACGTAAGTAAATTGATCAATCACAGTCGATTATTCTTCGACCGTGAGGAGAATAATCGATTGTGACTGGTCGCGATTCGCGCTTACTGCTCAAATCCTGACCTCACTTACGTTTTTCTAGGTTTTTCCGTGTATTTCCATTCGCTCTGAACACTTCGGTGGGTTTCGCGACGGCTGTGGCGCGACGCGCCACTGCTCGCTCGCTATCGATCAAGCTTCCGGCGACCAGCGTCCGTTCGATAGGATCGGTAAAAACGTATTCGATGTCGATGTGGTTTTCGCGGCTGTTTTCTCTCTCTCTCTCTCTCTCTCTAATTTTTTTTGTTTTTCGGATTTGTTTTCCAGACACCGCGATAAATTTCTCGCTAGTCGCGAGCGAGCGCGAACGATTAATTTTATTTAGTTCGTCTATTGTTGCGATAACGTCGAGACTATCGATGATGCCTGGCGAGTGAAACATATTAATCACACGCGCACGCATTAAATCGATATAAATTGACGCAAATGATCGGGTAAAAGGCGCGAGCGAGCCAGTTAGGCAGCCAGCTAGCTACCTAATGGAAACGGATACGTCATTAATTGTTTGCCGGCTGACCAGGACATTCTCTCTCTCTCTCTCTCTCTCTTTATTTCTCGGCCGATTGTAGATTCTCGGACGTCATCATCCGTAATAATTTGTTAGCACTCGAGACGTGAAAGCCCATAAGACCCTGAGAATTGTGAGATATTGTGTCTTATCACTTTCTGGTCCCGACTCGTTCGATCCCGGGGGCGAACCGGCCGGGATTCGGATTAATGTTTATGGCACCCGCGGGTGCACGAAAAAATCCCTCCTTGCGGAACGATCGCAACAGTCTGACAACCCGATTAGACGCTGATGTCGCCATTTTTCCTAATGCCGTCTCGCTCAACACTCGTCTCGACTATTTGTCTTTCTTTTTTCTTTCGGGTGAGGTCGATATTAAAATCGCGTAACATCCCGAAATTTTGCTCCCGCATTGATCCTGCAAGTATCATGAATCTTGAAGGACCAACGAGAAAATCTCAGGTTACAATCTTACCTTAATGCCGCAGATGGTTATTTATCGTCGTTTCTTTCATGCCGAAGAAGTTCGGAGAAATTCGAAATAGCATTTGTTGAAGAATTGTTTAATATTCGGTTGTCAAAAATATTCTACCGGTATTGAATCTTTATTCTTCATTTCAATCGGCAATGTATTAATTATCAAATATTTAACTCGCAAAATGAAGTGTATGAGATAAGCGAATATTAAATAATTAAATAAAAATTTGTAGAGATAATTGAGTAGAAAATAAATGACGCACTTCATTCTCATCTCTTTTTAAGTTCCTTTTCATGACGCTGGAAGTTTCGATGAGAATTGAAGCTCTTAAAAGAACTGATAAGAAGCTGTGAAGGCAAAGATAACAGTTGCGTGCCCAATAATGCTATCAATCAATTTTTTTAATTTGGACTCTGTACAATAACAAGGCTAGAGAGAAATGAAAAGAAAGCGTTGGCGGGCTGCAGATGAGATCGGACTCGCGACCAAAGCATTATTAGGCGCGGAAATCAACATTTACCAAATTTATATTAAATTCCAAGACCGATACTCATAGTTGTAAATATTTCGGATTTTTGATCGAGAACATAATTACTTATAAATTCGTATTTATGCTTGTCGGTTATTTGGAACAAACTTCTTTTCTTCGATGAAATAGCGTAACAAGCGTAGTTGCAGATTGCTAAATATCGAAGATTCATGAGGCTATAACTACATGTCAAATAATAACGGACTAAGAATATCGGCCTAAATTTCGACCGGGGCATCTCTTTCTTCCCGGGGACCGCGCTAAATATCCGTTCAAAACGAAGATTTCCGGTTCGACAAATAATTCGACACACCTTGCAAATGTATGACGTATCGCTGCCAACGATGACCCATGTTCTCCCAACATCCTGCTCTTGTCTGCTTCGTTGTGACACTAACACTGACACTCGCATGGATACGATTCGATCCGGAAGAGCACGTGCTAATCATCGCGATGCTGAGATACGAGACGGCGAATGAAATATTCCAATAGCGACGAAATGTCAAGGTTGCTCGATGGAAAATGCAAACAGAATGTAAATATACACACACACACACACACACATACTCCGCCGGCTCGAGACTCAATGACTCGGTCAGGTGCGCGATGCGTGCGAGAGTACCAAAACAATCGCTCCTTCCAACGTCACCCCCTCCTCTCTCCAAGCGGCCACTGTTGCCCGCCGACAATGACTCGCCTACACGGTGGCCGAGAAATCACCGCAATCGGCGCTCCCAAGAAATTCCGGATCTATAAAGTAGTTATCAAATGACCGAGTCATCCGAACGGTTGCACATGTGGCACGTCCGGAGTGCCTTTCGTAACGTTTGATGGCCGCCGTCGGTTGAGATAGTCGTGACATAAAATGAGTTTTTCAATGTTCTATCTGCAGCTCGACGACTTATGTAATTAATACATTGCTTATTGAAATCGGAAGAACTGAGAAAGATTAAGGGTTGACTAATGAGATAATGGGATATCAAGCGATTCTTAATTAAATCCCTCTTTGAATTCCCGGTACGGAGATTCGATATGAACATTGAGATGATGGAATATTACATGTAACATTTAAATACGCCCTTTTCTGAACTTCCATAAAGCGGGAACAAAGCAATAGCCTGCACGGTATACTCCGGACTTTCCGTTTTCCTCGAAATTCTCGAATCTCCCTTCAAACTCGACGGAATTCGCGCCGTTAACGTAGAACGAAGATTTCGCAATTTGCGATATTACATCACCCCATTGACTCGATTGTATCATTCGATATTATTTGATCACTGACTCCGGCCGAAAAGAAAAAATAAAAAAGTCGCAGGGAACGTTCAATAAATCGAGTTAATTGCGCCTCCTCTGCATCGGAAATCTTTCAATGAATTCACACGAGACGCGCGTCGACCCGACGTAATTATCATGACGATTAATTAAGTGTCGCGTGGCGCTTGATACGCGGTTCGGCCCGTTCGACGCTGATTCCCTCTCCGCGTCCTTCGCCGAGTCTCAGCCGTCCGGACACGCGTTCCGATCGGTGTTCTTGCCGGCGGCTGCCTAATCGGTAGAAATCGGTCACGCCGTAAATCTTCAAATAAACACGATTAATCGCGCCCGACGTCGGGTTTGCTCGCCAAACTTCGCAGCCGCGCGGCGGCGTAGCGAGCTTAAAATGGATTTACTCGATCCGAATGCATTAACGACGACGACTACGACGACGACGGGGGCTGCCGGTGGAGAAGTAGTTGCTCCTCCTCCTCAAAGAGTCCGCCGGCTGGGAGCCGAGTGCTAATTAGCGATTCGATCACGAAGCTTCCGCCGCCGGTAGACAACGTCGTCACCTCCAGCGGATTCTCTTTGATCCTCTTCTATCTCCGTTTCATTCTCTTATTCGCGTTCTCTCCTCGCCGCCGACCTTTCCGCCGCTTCGCATACATACGTGCCTGTGGGAGGCGTCGCACACGCGCCCGCACAGACTCGGCGGAGCCGGTGGCGGACTTTCCCAGCGACGAGACGTGCCAAAAAGCACGTTGATCGCAGGTTCTTTGAAAGCCTCGAGATTTTCCCATGAAACCGACGCGCGGGCTGTCGCCGGTAACGACGCACGCACGCACACCGCAAAATCCATTTAGTTGACTCAAAACTTGCTCAGGGGCAAACAAATGTTCCGGTTGTGAGAACGAAAATCTGCTTCTCCGAATCGAAGGCTCTCTGGAACGAAAGTAAAAAGAATCCCCCCTGAGAAATTTACATTTCCGGCCAATTGTTTTCAATTACCTCAAACAAGTTTTGACAC